TGGGCCTAGGATGTGGGAACTGCAATAAGGCCTCGAGCTTTGCCAAATGTATCGCCCATAGATCCTAGCCAATGAAAACGCTGTTGCTTGCTTACCTAAAATAAGGATACTGCTTGCTGCTAGCAAGGGGTATAAAAAAGCAGATGATAAAATAAAACGAAGAAGAGAAGACATCTTTCCTGCACATAACTGACTCCTTGTATCTTTATCGGCCGTCACGACTCCACACTGACAATTAAGAAAGAAAAAATGTTTTTACAAGAAAATATATATGTTAAGTCTAGATCAACAGGTCTTAATCAAAGGCTTTCAGTTTTTTAGGATATATCAGGATAGACTACAGAACATACTTCTCCTGTACAGATTCACATATTAGCAGTTTTTAAAGCAGGTGAACCCTTTCTTGTACCTTTCTGCTTTGGCTTTAGAAAGTCCATTGTATGTCTACAACCACATTTTGTGCTCCACAATTAGAGAATAAAAGCTTACATGCACCTTTCACCAAGTAAAAGCAAAGAACAAAAGGAGAGAAAGGAAGAACTAAACAAAACCCACACACAATCAAAAAGTATGAGGGAACAAGAAGTACTTGAATTCTTTAGTTCTTGCAATGTTCTGCTGCCTTATATTACTGCAGCTGTAAGAGCAGCCAGGGAACCAGATGGTAACGTTGTTAACCCAGGGTGTTTTGCCAGCAGCTTCTTGCAGGAAGAGATTGGTCAAAGGCTAACGCAGTCTATTTATTAACGTCATGATTTTCTGTACCTAACCCCACTGACCTCTGAGTGGTGAACATCACACTTCCCCTGGGTGGCTTGCTGACCCAAGAGTCACAGTTTTGTGGCTTCAATCTTAACTCTTTTGTTTGTGGTTCTCTGCCTAAACCACCTTAGAGCACTGTCCAGCCTTTTGAGTAAAAAGCTGTGTGGTTTCCTATGGGTGCTGACAGAATCAAACTGGAATTTGCTTTTCCTTTAACTAATGTCAATTTGAAAAAGTACCACTTAACAAGAGGTTAAAAGCCTCTCTTGGATTTTAAGGTTTCTATTTAGATACAGTCTCTCTACTTGGACCTTTGTCATATCATAATAGCCCTAGATAATTCAGGTTGGAATGCACTTAAATGGACCCTTATCTCTCAAATAAGGAACATCTTGTGTTGGTTTTTTTGGTCTTTTTTTTGTTGTTGTTTTTTTAAACTGATCTGGCTTTATCAGCATGAGAAGAAGAGATTACAAAGTTATAGAAACTTTGATCCCAAATCTTTAAGATTAACAGGTTCAAAAACATTAACCTAAATAAAAAGTAAAAAAAATAAGCCTAAATAGGTTACAATTATGAAGATTAACCATATACATATTACTAATCTCCTTGCACACAGAATAGGAATTAGGACAGAGTCATACATCTTTGTTGTAAAAGTTTCATATAGATAGAGATGCAGATAGAGATCAGAGCTTCTCAGATACAAAACCAGTTAAACTACTTTTGAGATACATGCCCGTGTGTATATCAGTTTTTCCACAAGTGCTACGTATAGAAAGCTACTCAAGTCTAAGTCATGGCATATCAAGATCTCTGTTTCAGAAGCCTGTTGTTAAAGTACAGTGCACATAAAAGCTGAGAAGTTGGTAATGAGTTAATCCTGTCTGCTTTATAAAATGTATTGCATCCTGCTTTCGGGTGGGTGCATGTACTTAAGTAAATTACACTTTATGTTGCTTGAAAGTAATGAATGCTAATGACAGATAATGGTGTTTTGTTTCCAATTAGCACTGCCAGGAGAGTCACAGGTTTCTAGAGCTCATGATCACTGTATTTTCCAGGAACAGTCTGAGAACTATAAAATTATATAAACAAGTTTTATTTATGCTGAATGTATTTCCTGATTGTTTCCTTCTCAGTTGGCCATAATGCAAATGAACTATATCTCTCTGTAGTTTAAGAATTAAAAAAAAAGCAACTATGTTTGTAAAGCCATAATCTGTCACACATTTTTATAAACATCACTCATTGTTCACTTTGCTAAAAAACAGAGGAAAATTTTTACAACTAAATTCATGTCATAGATTATAGTGAATATTCGGAGAGGTTTAAAATAGAGCAGACTAATGGATAAGCAGTCTGACTCACAAAATATGAGTTTAAATCTGGTATTTCATACTAAGAAATAAGTTTTCTTCACTTACGTATTCTTCAAAACACTTTCTAATATGAGTTGGCAGAGGATTTGAAATGCTATTTTGGCTCAAATCTATGAAAAAGATGTCTTACAGAGGCAAATAAAGTTGGAGAACTTAAATGACAATCATGTATTGTGCTATGAATTATGTGTTTTCAGGAATGTAAGTATTGTGCTCACAGACATCAAATATGCAGTATATAACAAGTTACTTCCTTTCTACAGTTGCAATGCCTCTTATTTTATAATGTTGTGTGTATTAACTTAGTATTCTGTTGATAGTGTATTTTGGTTCCAAATGTTCACTGCAGGAGTTTTATCTCACATCCTTATTTTCTCTAATAAAAATGTACAACAACAATAACGTAGCAATGAATTTTTTACCTGCTGTTGCAAGTCTTGCATTCTGCTGGATGTTATATTGATGGATAACAGCTCAAGGCCTGCTCAGTGACTACAGAAAGCAGCACTGTTGTTGATAACTTACTGGCCTTTGGACTGGGTCCCAAATGCTCTCCTTTTAAAGCTGACCTTTGGTTGCAGCTGCTTTGGTTTGTAAAAATGTATTGTGAAGAAGTATCAACTTCTTATCTGCTGGCAAAAGATGAGAGTTCTTGCGTTCCTTCTCCTCTAACACCACTCACTAGTCCAACACCCTTCTCTACCCAGGAAAGCAGGCAGTATACCAAAATGCAGCTTCTTAAATTAGACTTTTCATATGTCTGTCTGCCAGATCTGGGTGGTATGTCATCTCTCTGTTTTGAACATTGCAATAATTTCTTAGGTCTAAATCATAAACCTTGTATATATGACTAGATACATGATTTAACCCTGATGCTACCAGTGCTTTAGTTCACCTTATATAATCCTTTAATTTCATTTAACAGGCTACTAAAATCATTGCAAAATAATACAGAATGCCTATTATGTTGTAGAAATAGAAGATGTTTCTTGCACCATTTCAATAGGATGGTTTATAAATTTGGATAATTAATTTTCAAGGAACTAGATGACTCTCATTATCCAGGAAGTCAATGCTCTGCAGTCATTGTGTTCTGTAGAGCTCAGTTGGCTTTGGGAAAAATCTTTAAAAGTATTACTTTCATGTCATCTGTATGGCCACTTTCTGCAACTACTGTAGCAAATGGATTTCACCTCTCTGAGATACTGACTTCAGTGTAATTCATTCACTCACATGAATGACTTCTGGTTAAATAACGAAATTAATGCACAACAATTATAGTTGCATTTTCAGTTCAAAAAACCACCACAGACATTTGTAGCTGAAAACTGACTGTGAGAGTTGTGCCTAGCCAGACACAATTCAAAACAGCTTGACTGTCAGTTATCAGATACACACAATCAGTGGTCTCAAGTGAGATAGAGTGCATGCATTATTCTCAGAAATTATTCCAAGAATAATATAGATAGCTATTAAGTTCAAGAAATTAAAAATCTGATTACAGGCTGTTTGTGAACAAAGAAGTCAAAATTAGTTTAAGAAAATAATTGTTACAGATTGCATGTTTATCTCTATTGCACTTGTGAAATATTTCTACTTGCACTCCACTGTCAACTAAGCTTCTCTCTCAAGGGTAAACTAATATTTTTAAAATAGTAATCCAATATGGAAAATGACCTGAGCAATAATGTTATAATTAATGCAATATTGAGCTGATTGCCTGGTTCTGTTCATTTTGTGAGTCTATCTCACACAGTGTCCAAGAAAAAAGAAGTAAAAGTGACAACAACTGAAAACTAACACAGAGAAAGTGTCACATTTTCTCTTTGGTTCACTGCAGATCAAAGAAGTACAATGTAGTAGAATTCGTGGAGTTTGCAAGTTTTTCTGGGCAGAGACTGATTCTTATTGTGTCTGCCTGGTACCCAAGAACCAAAGTAGTCTGATCCTGAATTTGGTATCAGGTGCCAAAACCACAGTGCAAACTATAAATTATAATAGCAGTAAAGTGAAAGTGTGAATAATTCCATTTCCATTTAATTATGTCTTAAAGATTGAATTTTCTGGATGTCCACTCCACATAATAGCTGGGAATTGCTGATTATCAGGATGTAACTATTATCTAACATATTTTGGTAATGTTTTAATATGTTATTTACATAATTTTTGAAAACAATGAAAAAGTGAGTTTGAGACTCATAAGTCTGATTTTGCAGTCCTTGACCCCATTTCTTTCAATATGGGTTTTATTGATTACTGTATAAAAACTTTCCATGGATATCCAGTAACTGTAAAGAAAAAGGCTGTGGAGAATCAGGTTTCTTTCTACAGGCAGTGGAATCATGCTTTCTTCTTCAGGATCAAAGCTGGAAACCTGTCAGTTTTTTTGGTAAATATAAGTAATTTACAGGTTCCACACCATACAATACAGTCAGCTTTGTGAAAGCAAACTGTGCTGAGTTTGATAATACATAAATGTTTGGAATTACAGGTAAATGAGATTAGCACCTCTTTTGGCAGTTTAACAATACTGAATGATACAGTGGATGGTCTTTTTGCAGACCTTATTTTTGCAAATAGAATTTCTCTCAGTCTTTGTCACATCTCCTAGGTTTAGATATTTCGGATCAAATTTGTTTTATGCTCAGTAGATAAGAAATGTGATGTACTATATAATAGCCATTATTGTCACTGATACATTTTTCTTCATGTTTTTAAACACTTGCTATCCCTGAAACTAACTGGACTTTACTGTCATGTCAGAGAGTTAAAATACATTTCATTTGCTGCGCTCTGTTTTTGTTTTGAGTTGGTTACCCAGGATAATAGTGACATGGCTTTCTGAATTTGTTACAGTGTGCCTGAATATTATGACTACGGTCATGGAACAAGTGAAGAGGCTTATGACAGCTACGGTAAGGTCTGTTCTACCTTCAGCAAGTGTGAAATCAAAAGAAAGTATCTGTCACTGACAACTCAGAAATTACTTCCATATTGTGGAAGTAATTGTGTAACTTTAGGGTGAATTTTGACTTATTGAAGTAGGACCAGAAAATTGGACTTACCAATTTCAATTAAAATTACAAAGCCAATTACTCACAGTCACAGGTCAGTTTAACTGAACTTCAGCACCCCTGAAGTTTCTGATTAGCACCTGAATATATTTCACAGTGTTAAATTTCAATCTGCTTGATGTGCCGACAGTACTATGCATCTGCTGCTGTCATGTGCATCACTTCAACCAGCAAGGTTTGTGAGATTTTGAAATACAGTCTTTAATCAAAACGGAAAGAAGGAAAGGGTGCTATAACGCCATGGGAACCCCCACTGTACTAAGATAAGGGAGCATCTCATGCCACACTAAGCAGTATGAGTAGAGGGAGAGTTGTACTCTGTACTTCCTCACCGAGTCTGTGTCTGGGCTGGAAAAGTTCCACTTCATGGGAACCAAGGGCATGAAAGGAAACGAAGTGTTGCTCCAATGAGTACAAACCATTTTCTAGGTTGCTTGCTATTAGTGATATGCTTTGATCCGTGTTTTCCTAACAGTAGTTATCATTACACTATACCATCAGATGGCAGAGTGAATCTCACTCTGAGAGTTTCACTGAAATAATAGAGCAAAGCTGACTACTGACAGCTTAAAGAGTGAGCCTAGCATATTCAGGAGAAATGTCATGCTTGATTTACTGCTACTAATAAAGTATCCTATGTCTACATGGTGACTTCTGAAGCATTGTGAAAATGAAAGCTGCTGGAAATCATGCTGCAAATCAAAGTTACACTAAGGGGTTATATAAGGGTTGCTGCTTGAAATAATTTTATTCATGCAGCTGTGAAGTAAATGTCACTGTAATGCAAACTTGCAGTTTCCTTTGTATTGGTATAGAAATAGACATTACTGAGATGTCAAAATGGTTGCATTGCAAAATCAGAAATAACTTAATTTCTTTGTATAATCAGTTCTCACAATACATTTGGATAATATAATGTGCAGTCAAGCACATTTTCAATGCTAAACAAGTAATAATAATAATAACTTATCCATATGAATGTGAGTGGTTTGGTTACCCTTTGTTTTGTTTCCTTTTTGCTGATGCATTTTTAATATCTGCAGTGGAATATCTTTCTTCCCCTCTCCACTCCTCTCCTGAATGCATTGCTAAGCATAGTCTGAGCTCAGCAGTAAGAATTACCCACTGTTTAACTTTTAATTACACTTCACCATGCTGAATCTCTGTGTGTCTGGGCTAGACATTTAAAGTAGTGTCACTTTCCTTCCAATCTCTCATTTGTAAAACCAGAAGAATATCACTTGTTTTCCCAGCAGGGATTTTGAATGGACTAATTAGCTAAGGCTTACAAAGTGTTCGTACAGTGGCGTCATGACTAAATTTATGTTCTGCATGCAGCTCCTTTTTTTTTTTCTTTCCATTCAGCAGCTGAAACAAATTCAAAATGCCTGAGTTTCCTTTACTAGATTTGTCTTAAAATACATAGCTGATAACTGTGGACTTGCTTTGGTTTTTGCTTGAACTATTTTTTGAGCTGGCATTTGAGCACAAAGATCAGAAATAGTATTATCCAAAACCTAGAATAAACATGGAATAATATTCCAAATTGAAATTTTGCTACTTTCTGAAAACAGATATGTTTATGTGTGTTTGTGCTCCTGTTGGTTCGTTTACTTTAGCAGATTAGTAAATTTGCTAGTTCTGCGCTTTGGAAATCTGTGTGTGAACTTCCTTCATCCCAAAGTCACCACCATTTATCTGAGGAGGTAATCTGAGTTTACAGAGCTGTAGAACTGTAGAATATATGCTTAACTTCCTTACTTTCTTAGTTCCTGGGCATACAGTGATGTTCCCTCTGTATCTGATTTGGAGCATCACCCCTTATCATCCTCTCACTTAAATTTACCCTAATTCTCTGTTCCCAGTTTTTACTTGGTTTTCAGGATGTTTTGCAATTCATTGTGTCTCCTGAATCCATCCCACTGTATAAAATCAGCTGCCCCTTCATTTTTCACCATCCTGCAGAAATCAACAGTCTTTCATCTCAGTTCAGTTTCACACTTTGTTTTACCTTCCATAACAAGGCCATATTCCTCCTTTACAATTCTTTCTGGCATGCCTCTGCAATTGAGAATTCCCCCAAACTGAATAAGACCACATACAAATGGTACATGAGCATAGAACTGGTGTCTTATTGTCATGTCTTAGGTGTTTTGTGTAACAACTTGTCTTTTCACCCTTATCCATTCCAGTAACAATATCTGAATTATCAAAGATTTACTAGTTAGGCATTTCTTTACTTTCTCCTATGCATCCTCTTGCTTCCAGCTTATTTTTAGGGAGGTCAGTCTCAATCCTCAGAAGGTTTTCTTTCATTTTCCACGAAGCAATGAATACTAGTAACATTACTTCGTACTTACAATCTTTTTAAAGTATGAAATAGAGCTCTGTATTACTTGCTAAGTATTATACAGCACCATATGATATGGTACTCCTCTATGAGCTGCCTCCTAGGACTTCTCTTTCTATCTGTGCTCCTAAGAAGTAGCAGGTGGGTTTTGTCTCATGGGTTCTTCTATGCTCCTTTTAAAAGCACTTGTGGAGAATTCTGACTAGGGAAACCGTTTCCACAGAAGTTCATAAAGATTTATGGATTTATGGATTGTTCACAGTATGGTTGGAGAAATCACAGGGGTGTTTCAGAGCAGAGCCCACCCAAACACCATTTAATCCTCAGGAAGTTCCACATCTCTTTTGATTAGATGGAAGTACTAAACAAGAAAGGGCCTAAGTCACTTATCTGAGGCTGGGCAAGAGGGATTCCTACACACTATTCACCGCTCTAAAATCCACAACTAAACTGCCTTAACAACTTTTTCATTTTCTATTGTGAAGTTTCCTGAGAATTCCATCCCGTTCAAATCCAACCAAGAAAACCCCCAAGACAATAGCAAAGTCAGCTGAAAGGAGTATTTATAAAATTGCACTACTTCCCATGACTTAGGGATGTTCCATGAATGAAAATTCAGAGCACAGAACCCTCTCATGTAGTTAGATTCTTAAGCTCTATTGTGACACGCTTGTCACCCAGTCTCTCAGAAGGATCAAAGTAGAGACACTTCAAAGCATTCCCTGCAGCAGTCTCTGGGCACATGGAAATACACTGCCAAGGAATTATGAGATTCCTACAAATTTTTTATAGGATCAGGATTATGCAGCTACTGCTAGAAATTTTGAAGATCACCGTTCCAGGCTGAGGAACATAAATTTGGGATGCAAACCTGAAAATCTTCTTGGGGATGTAGCCCTTATAGGTTTCCTCATGTGAGTTGTAAAGAAATATCTTTAGCAGGCTCTTTAAAGACCAGTCATTTAAAGTACTGTACAGTTTTCAAAAATGTAAATCATCCTCATCTCTAATCACACTCAATGAACATTTATGATACTTATGCTACCAAGGGTTTTTATATCTGCAGATAAGATTTTAAATCTAAGAGTCTAAACTAAGGTGACGGTGTTGTGTTAACTTGATGTTTATGTTTTAAAAGAGAAGGCATGAAATTGGATTCATTTATGAACAAAAAGGTTTATATTCCTCGCTCTCATTATGCTTTAATAATTTTTTGGTTTCCCTTCTGGCAGTGTTGTCATCTGAGGAGATATCTAGTGAAAACATGAATTTAATGATTTTTCTTATAAATCGATTAGGATATAATGTACACCTAAAATTTGGTAACTATGAACCTTTCCTTCCTATATTTAATACCATGCCCAACTCCAAAAAGCAGCTTCACTGGACAGGACTGCTGTACATGAAAAGCCCTTTGTAAACTGTTCACGTTCTCATTTCTCTTTCTATTTCCCCGGTTTGGTTTTTTTTAGAGGAAACAGAATTCTTGATAAAGTGTTGGGGTCTGTTAGGCCACATTAGAAAGATAACAGAGAGTATGACTTGCTAGCAAGGCACATCCAATGCCTTAGAAGCTGTATTAATTACATCTGACCTGCCTCACAGTTGTTTCATCTGAACCCTTTTTCACCCTTGTACTGATCAGAGCACTCAAGGCTTTGTTTATCAGCTACTGTTTCTGGCTTTGTTCTTCCAAAGGCTGGGGATTCCAGCAGTAAGCTCTGCCAGTTGCTGCTGCAGAAGGTTGAAGAGGCTCCCACTCCTGCTTCCAGAGCTTGAGACTTCCATAGCAGTGAGAGTGTGCCTGTTGTCAGATGCTTTAGTTCACAGCCTCGTGCATATCCTGCCTTGTGTGTTACTTGAAAATGGTGGCAATTGTGTTTTTATGTCAGGTCATGAACTGCCGTATCTAAGAGGCTAGTACACACAGACTTCTTGCTGCTACTACCAAAAAAGCAGAAACCTTAGGTAGAGGGTGAAAGGATAGGGTTAAAGTCTATAACCTCCTAAACCACCACAATTAAATTAGAATAACACCACCTGCCAAAGGCCTTAGGCAAGAGTTAGGAAGGTTAATCTGTAGCTTGCCACCTACACAAAGAGAGAAGACATAAATGAACTCCACTCACATCCTTGCTGCTTTTCAGGAGAAGCTTGCAAGGCTGTTTACTGCATGTGCTGCTATTGCATCAAGGAGACATTGTTTTGTTTTCTGTCTTCACCAGAAATTTTCAGCTGTTCAGATTTTCTCTGATGACCATGGTTTGTGGTGCATATTCTACTCCAGTTTAGCATTAAGTGCTCACAAACAACCGAGTATTTGGCTTTAGGATAATTCCATCTTTAATTAAAATTGGAGAGTGTAACTGTTTAGTATAATTCCTTTTAATGTAAGACATCATTTAAGTTGTAAAATGCTGCCACTATGATTTAATTGACTATTTCACAAATAATTCCCTGCCAGTTACTCTATATGAGAGCTTTGCAATTG